CCGCGACATCAGCCCAGAGTGCCCAAAGCCGCGGGAGCAGTGATGGAATGTGCTCCATTTTGGGAAACAGGCATGGCTTAAATTCGTTCTTTTCAAAAATGTGATTTACAGTACAAACCCCTTGTGATTCCCTGGGAAACTAAGAAAGATCATTTCTTTGCCCCAAAAGTCACACACAGCTGGAAAAAAAGGGCTTTAGCAGGACATACTCATGCCACAAACACCTGAGCACAATTTTAGACTGAAAATTCCTTCACCTGGTTCCAGACCCTTTATCCTTCACCCCCACACCCTTTTACTGCCAGTCCAGCTCTGTCCTCTGCACAAAGGAGCCCAGGTGTTTCTGGAATCCACTTTGCCTTTCCAGCGCTTCACTCATTCCCCCGTTAATGAAACCCATATGGTTGAGTATTACTGCCCTCCCTGTCTTCCTCAAGGCCCTTTTCCAGAGGCTTGAATCCACTTTATGACTAGCTTTCCCTGTACTACAAAAAGTTGCAGAGGTTTTATGAGCACCTTTCATGATTCTGAAGGCTACTACAAAATGGCTTATTTACTTGAGACACCAGGAGCCAAAGATGAGTGTCTCCTATTTTCAAAAGTATCTTTGTCCAAGATCACCCCTTTTACAGCTTTCCACTTAAGAGCCACTTCAAGAATTAATGTGGCAGACTGCATATATTAAACTGGAAGCTCAGAGACAGAACAGCTTGCATGAAGACAGCTGCAGTGATTTTCAACCCCAATTGAATCCTGAGTATAAATTATGAACTTGTTTTTATAAAATAAAATATTTGTAAACAGATAATAAATTTATAGCTTTTTTTTTTTTTTCCTGTGCAGAAATAAAAATAGGAACAGAATAAACACAGAGATTTTTGCTTTTGTCACACTGAGACCACAATTTCCACAGACATTCCTCTGATGGGACACCGTTCCAAAAGTATCTATTACATGGTTACAACAGTGAGGAGAAGAGCATAACGTGCTTGGAGTCAATAATCCACAGAAATATGGCAAAACAAAGTTCCCAACACGCTCACCACAACTATGGCTGGCAAGAACAGAAATTCTCAGTGTACTAAAATCCATTTGAAATGTTTAACCCTAACATCATCCAATCTGCATGATGTTTCCTCATCTCAGCTGGAGTAGAATGTGTGGCTGGAAGAGCACAGTATAACCAAAGAAACCCTGAAACGGGAAACAGAGTCAGCCTTCCCTGGTAAGCCAATTCTAATATTTGGGAAATGTGGTTATTTTCTCTGAGCAGCAGATGTATAAATGGCACACCTGTAACAAAGTTCCAGCCCAGGTTTGTGAAGAGGAGCCCTGACCCATAAGTGTTTCACACACGCTGTTTTGTAACACTGAGCACACCCAGCCCTGTCTGACGGTGTAAACGTGGCACTGAGCCTGCACTGCAGGCAGAAATGCAAATACAGACAGCAAAGCTGCTGCTGCTGCAGCTGCAGCCACCCCCGGCCCAGCAGCCAGGCCTGCAGAGCTGCAGTGNGTGTAGCCCCGCGCTCACTGCCCCATAACCACACCACAGACCCGCACCTTCCCCAGGAGCCGCTGTGCCCCCAGGCCCTGCTGTGCTCACAGCCCCATCCCAAGGACAGCGCTTTACTCGGACAGAAGCCTTCCTAAAGGGTACAGAAATCAGCGTTTGGGTGTTAAAGACACACTTGTGCACATTCCGAGCAAGTGCTTTGGCCTTTCCCAGCAGTTGTGACCTTACACATTTCTAGTCAAAGGTGAGCTGAGTACTCTGCCCTTCCCTTTCCCCACAGGCACCTGGCCTCCAGTCCTGTTCGAATAAACTGCTATGGAAGTGAGGGACATTTTACACAAACCCTAACAATCCCACTGTCCCAGGCTGCTCCAAGCCCTGTCCAACCTGGCCTTGGACACTTCCAGGGATCCAGCGGCAGCTACAGCTACTCTGGACAACCTGTGCCAGGCATCACCACTCTCACAGCAAAGAATTTATTCCCAACATCCCATCTAACATTGCTCTCCAGGCATTGCTCCTTGTCCTGTCACTCCAGGCCCTCTTAAACATCCCTTTCCATCTTCCTTGTTGGTGCCTTCAGGTGAAGGCTGCATATTGTTATCCACTGCTGTTCCTTCTGCCTTTCTTTGCAGTTTCATATTAAGAACAAGTGTGCTAAAATCAGCGATAGGAAAAAGCCCCCACAAGCTCAGTGGGGGCTTTCCTATCTAACCTCCCGCTTTCCTCGATTACTCCTAAAGGACCTCTTGACCGCTGAACCCAGCACATACCATGGGTTATTTCAAGTGGAACAAGTCCATTAACTTGTAAACACTCCTGGAAACCGGGAGGCAGCGCCAGCCCGCTCCTGCTCCGGCAGCGCCGCAGTCCGTGTGCTCACACTCGCCATCTGCTCGGCTGCGTTTGGAGCGCAGGACAAAATGGGACTGCTGAGTAAAGGCTGCTCAGAGCGCCAGGGGATAACTCGAGCTCGCCGAGCCATCAGCTCGGGCTCTTTTGGATTTTCCTTCCCGCCGCACAGCCCTCGCTCTCCCAGCGCTCAGCGCACCCGAGTAAAGCGGTGCCATAGAACCCAGCGCTGCTGCCTGGCAATGGCCACGGGGCAACCGGGAGAAGCAGCCGGAGCCCGGCCGGG